GTGACGAGTTCCAGATGCTCGACGTGTCTACAACCAACTGCTCAGACGTGGTATCCAACTACTCGTCCGAAGTACCCAGCAACTCGGCTGCGGCGATCAACAACTTGGCCATGAACCAAGCTAAGTGACGCTTTAATTTTTACATTCCAGATATTATTTGTATGCCTCTGTGGCCATATCATCTTCCCTTAACAGCTGTTAATGTACTCAGATAGTAAGCCTTAATTCGTGAAGCTTGTTTTCTCGAATGGATGGTCACGTCAATGAACCTCTGAACCATACACGAGATTCAAGTGCTTAAACATAACAGGCTACTACCCAGGAAATTAACCGGCATAGCAAGGGAAGACACAAAAAATCATCATGTGAGCAAACATAGTGCTCTACAATCATCATGCAAGCAAACATAGTGCTCTAAGTAAAATCATCATGTGAGCAAACATAGTGCTCTAAGTCTTCTCTTAACGGTCGCTAAAGTCCTCAGGTAGAACATGCCTTAATCCGTGAAGCTTGTCTACTCACATGGATGGTCACGTCAATGAACCTCTGAACCGAATGCCAGGCTCACATGGTCACGTCAATGAACCTCTGAACCATACGCCAGAGATTCAAGTGCTTAAATGTAACAGGACACTACCTGAGGAATTTGCATGGCCTAGCAAGAGCAAGACGCGAAAAAAGTTTATATGCATTTTATGATGCCGGGGGCCGCCCCTGATTGATTATTCAAATATGGGACATGCTTCCGACTTCATATACGGAATGTCATTTACAACATATTTTTATGTTTAACATGCAGGGGAGCTACATCTGTACCATGAGATCAGGAAAAACACGCTCCTGAGAGCTAGTCCAGAAACAACCTGGTTTGATAAAAAAAGAACCCCGACAAGGTGCGGCAAGAACCAATACAAGCACTTAGAAAGAACCCGGATCGACAGAAAACAACCGCAAAGAGGTGCTGCAAGTACCAAGACAAATTCAGAAAGAACCCAGATTGATCAGAAAACAGTGTGGATGAGGTACATACAAGTTCAGAAAAAATCTAGACGCAGTGCAAACAATCTGGAAGAGGTACATCAAGAACCAGAAGTCTAGAAACAACCCGGATGAATCAAAAACAACCTGGAAGAACATCACGGCTTAGTCAAACGCTAAGCTCGGTAGCTCAGCATACGCTTCAACTACACCTGGGGGCTCGAATTCAAGGACGAAAGACCAAGAATACAAGTACTCAAGACTACAACAACGACAACACATCAAGACCCTTCATCTGATTTCTTTTTGAAAGAAAAGAACTCGGAGAAGGCTCGGGAGCTGCGGGATACATAACCCTAGAATTTTTTTAAGACAAGAATCTGGACCCTCCAACTTTTGCAAGCAAAAGCAAGAGGCTCGGGGGCTACACTCAGTGAGTGCAATTTTTACGAAAAATTGCACCCACCGAAAAAGAACTCGGAGCAACCAAGAAGACTAAAGGGACCCTCTGGCTTCTTGTCCCAACAAGCAAGAGGCTCGGGGGCTACACTCACCGAGTGCACTTTTGTCCAAAAGTGCACATCAGCCGAAGAAAAGACAAAGATGACCATCTCAAGATCTCGCTTCAAGAAAGAACCCAGAACAAGTCTACAACAACCCGGCCCTTAAAGCTCAATCATGAAATGCTCGGGGGCTTGTCGATGCGAGACCCATAGGGTTCCCCACGGAGAAGAGAGAAGAAGACCTAGTCCAAATAGGATTCTCTACATGTAATCCTACTAGGACTAGTTACACATAATCCTACTAGGATCTCTACTTTGTAACCGACTAGGACTCCCACCTCTCCTGGACTATATAAAGGAGGGCAGGGGTCCCTAGATCGGCATCTACACAAGAACACACCATACAACACACAACAGAAACCTCTAGATCTCGATAGAGATCAAGAGGACGACATAGCGCAGGGCACAACATACTATCTACTCCACACTGGACGTAGGGCGCCGTGATTTTCCGGCGTACCGAACCAGTATAAATCGTTGTCTCCCTGCGTTTACCACTGAGTTCCTACATACGCCGATACCCCTCCGAACAAATCACCGCCCCGGGTACCCCGTGGCGGGTTGCCGGTGGTAAAATATCGACAACCGCACTGGACTCAGGCATGATCCTTCAACGGGTCGTGTTGTGGGTGATGACGATTGGTTGGACTCAAATGAGGACGCTCAGGAAGGCCCCCATGAAGGCAGCCAAGATGAGGTAATTGATGCAACGATGCACAAGCCTGTTCGTTTGTTACATTTCATCTTGCTTACCGCCTAAACACATTGGTTAACATGACTAATCCTTGCAGGAACCCATTCACCCTCAAGACCTTGCCACACCACCGCCATTCCTAGATGAGCTGTTCACTCTATTCGGGTCCCACACCAGAGACAGGGGGACTTTCATGTGGTCCAGTGGTCTTCATGATGCAGCACGCACTCCACCAAGGATGGCACAGGAACACATCGGCCCTTCGAGTGTCGGCACTTCTTCGAAACGATCAAGCAGGGACCAAGTTGTTATGAGCCCTCAGAAAAAGAAGTCTTGCAACTTGGGTGAGTACATGCACAACTTATCAGAGAGTATTGCTGCAAGGAGTTCCCGTGAGCGAGGCCGAACCCATGAACAAGAGGAGCAAAGCAAAGTGATGCAGATCCTACATCAAGATGGTATGCCAGAAGGGTCAGAGCTGTTTATGATGGCATTACATCTGTTCCAAAAACCGGCGTGCCGCGCACAGTTCAAGAACATTGAAGAAAGGGACAATCGCGTGAAGTACATCGAGTGGACTTGGAGGAATAGCAAGCAGACCGACAACCATTAATAACATGCTTCGTGTGTAGTAGTTGAACAATCAGTTTTTAGCGTGCTGTTTCGTACTTAAATTTTCCTCAATGTAACGTTAAATGCGTCTGGAACTATGTTTGTAATAATCTGCACTGGTTTGTGGACCATATGATGTCATAATCGTGCTGCATTGTTGTACGATTTATTGTTTGCTTGAACTGATTAATAGTTACTGTGTTATTTCTATTCTTAGCCTTCTCCAACTTGAAGATTGATCGTTTGTTGCTTTCCTGTCTTGCAGTAACGGACCTCGGTTAGGCAGCAACTACAACCAGGACAACGCACCACTGAGGTTAGGCAACAACTACCTTGTACAATTTGTTGTGGACCAAATGTACAGATTGGTTGGACTCTGCATTAATCTATATGTAATCTGAGATGGTTGTTTGTTGTTTGTGGTGGTCAATCAGGTTGCTGAAACCATGGCTGACAGCGACGACACCAGTGAACATTCAAGTGACTCAAGTACATATTTCTGGGATGTGGCAGCGCTGGCCGCTGCCTATGGCGGATATGTAGCTGTGATGGAGAGTCAGGTTCCAGTGCACCGTCCTGGGTTAGGTGTCCAAGAACGGAACGGTGCGTCATTTGTCCATAAAAGCCTAGCTGACCCCAAAAGGTGCAAGACTAACTTTCGCATGTCCCCTGAATCTTTCATGGAGTTGCATAACATTTTAGTTAGTAACCATGGCCTTCAAGCGACTCAGGAAATGGATACTGTAGAGGGGTTAGGGATGTTCCTTTGGGCTATGGGCTGTGAATGGCGGGGAGCAGGTTTGTGGATGGGCTTGCTAATATAGTGTAGTAACCAAGTCTACACTTGTGCATTATATGGGTCAAATCTTATTTTGTGAATGTGCAGGTGCAGCCAGGTGGGTGAGGCGTTAGTGAATGTGGTTTGGAGGATGCCATGATGAAGATGGAAGGTTGGGTATGTGACTTTTGCATGGCTATCTTCGTTTTCCTATGATTTGTGTTGGAAATCGTGTGTTATATATTGCCTGCACCTGCACCTGGGGAATAGTTGCCGATGAACACCCTCTGAATAGCTATTTTGTACCTGACATTTTAACTCCTTACTGGAATTTGTGGCCTTGCAGTGAATGCATATGGTGTAATTTGGGGTTAATGAAATGAACTGATGTATGTTTCAGAACATCTGCAATGCAAGTTTACTGCTCCGTTAACTTTACTGAATGCAATGGTCTATCCTACTGATGAATTCATTCCAACATATGGAAGTATATAACTGCATCATCATATTTGACATAACAACCATGACAAGTACCTGCATACAGTATGAATGCTTTGTAACTGGTGACATAACTATAGTTGCATCTTAACAGTTTGATGCTTAATAACTGCTGACATAGATATGGGTGCATCATATCAGTTTTGATGCTTACAAAATTGCATGCCAAAAGACAGAACAACCAAAACTACAGTTTGGGAACATTTCAAGTGCCGGTGCCTTCCTGATGTCCTTCAGGTTGCAAGTTCCCAGATTTCCTTGTAGCCCTTTGATTGGTGCAGCAAAGGAAGGAAGATGGCACAAAGGATTCTACAGTGCGATCAGAGCACTGTGATTTGTGTTGGAAATGGATGGCTTACAAATGAAGAGATCATTGGATTGGAAAGAACAGGTATTTGCTTGTGCACAACTGCTAGAAGTGTATTAGGCCCTTCAACCGGCTTTGCATGAGTTGTTAGTTGTGTCTGTAATCAACTTGTTGTTGTACAAATGAACTTTCCATGACTTGTAAATTGACTGGATTGGTTACCGGTGCCTTTTTTTTGAATTCAAATGCCTGGAACACCATCCTGTTGGCGCCTTTTTTGAATTCAAATTCGAATTGGCTGCTGATCGGCTGCTGGCCATTCGGCTGGCTGATTCCACCTTTCAAATTTCAAACCATCAGTCCATCACTCCAGCAGACTCCAGTAAAGCTTATTTGCGCATATTCAATATAGATTTGATTTGTTTTTGTTGAGCTTGTTCATAGATTGTTTGATTTGCAAACTAAATGGTAACCTTACACGCTTACAAATGTGTGTTTTATTTTTGCGTGCTCACTGGAACGGAAAAACCACATGATACTCCCGAGTATTCTGTACTCGGACAATTTAAGTCAGTGCTTTTTGGGCGCGGTCGGCACGACGCCTTCATTGCCGGCGAGCGTCATGTACTTGTCTTTCCGGGTCAGCCCGGTGAGCTCGAACCCCAGCGCCTCGCCGAGCTCGCGCTGCACCCGGTTCGCCACGTCGATGCTGTCGCCGCGGCCGCCGTTGTCCGCCGGCGTTGTGGCGGCGCGCGGCAGGAACTCCACGCGGTACGCCGGCCGCGGGTTCATCATGAAGTAGAATGGGTCCATCCACTTAGCCCCCGGTTTGGTGGACGTGCCGTAGAACATGCCGACGCGCGTGTCCAGCGCCACGGGGTTCACGTCGACGCCGAGCTCGGCGAAGAGCGGGCTGAGCCGGAGCAGGTACTCCTCCCGGCACGTGGTCCCCTCGGGGCACACCACCAGGTCGCCGCGCGCCAGCACCGCCGCCATGTTGCGCTGGTCCTTCTCGCGGTCCCGCGTCAGGCGCGCCGTGCGGATCGGCGCGATCAGCTCCGACACCGGGCTCAGGCTGTACGTCACCGCGGTCACCGGCTTCCCCAGCGCCGCGGCGACGATGATGGGGTCCAGCAGCGTGCGGTGGTTGCACACGTACAGTCGCCCGCCGCCGCCTTCGCCGCGGCCTTGGCGCACGGTGGGCACGTGGCCGGCCACGAGGCGGTAGTGCATGCCGGTGAGCGCGCCGACGGGGAAGCAGACGCGGTACGGGAGGAAGGAGAAGGCGATGGTGCGGAAGACGACGAGCGCGATGCCAAACGGGAGGAAGGTGTACATGGCGAGCGCGGCCGGCGGCATGGGCGCGAAGGCGAGGCGGCCGTCGTGGAAGACGAGGGGCCTCGGGTACTTGTCCCGCGGCAGCGGTCGCCATCCCCGCGTGTCGGCCTCGCTCACAGCGAAAGTTTCCTGCACGCACAGATGGTGGGCACGTTGCACGTAATGTCAAGGGCGCTGGCGTGTGCCGTCACGAGGATCAGCATTCAGCACTGGCGTTAGTTGACTGCGACTATATTTATTATGACTAAATAAAATATATAATAAACCTTTTTGTTGCTAATTCAGCGAGGAACATTTTAATTGCTGATAATAATGTTAATGCAAATTACGGAAGATTATTCCGAGTCCGTACGTGGATTAGGTAGGATTTCATTTTCAATTTGATCTGATGGGGCTCCTGGTCATTATTCTTTTTACAATTTTACTCCTAGCCTGGACCTCTGTTCAAAAAATACTACCTCTGTTCCAGAAATAATACAATTCTAAGTTTAGTTAGAGTCAAACTAACTTAACTTTAGCTGAATTTGGAAAAAAATGATACTAACATTTAAGACTCCAAAAATGTATATTATGAAAATATCTTCCATGAACATCTAATGATGTTTATTTAGTACAATAGATAAACGTTAATATTTTTTATATAAATTTAATGAAATTTAAGATGCTTTGACTAAGCAATACTCTAGGATTATATGTTTTTTGAGACGAAAGGAGTAGTTTTATAATAATATAATTTTGTTATGTGTAACTAATATATGAAAACAATAAATGATAGTTAAATAAAAGTTATGATTTGTAGACTGATGTGTAAAAAAGTCTAACTTATTTGTAATTGGAGACCTATATTAAAAACGCTATACATGTGAGTTTCAAGCTATTAATGTTCCATGATAACCAGGACATCGCTTGTTCCTGGTTATGTTTCCACGATCAGAGTTCAAATTGTAGCAACTACTATAGGTGCAATTTACACACATATAAATGCTTTTAGTTTAACTGTTATATTTGCGATGATATGATTATGAACCAATTTATGCTAATAAAAAATTATTTTGCAAGAACATCGTGGTCTACTTTAATTATGATCCACGGAAGGAATATACTCCCCCATCAAAAAAGAATGTTATTTTAGTTTTCTACTAAATTAATCAATCTTAAGTTTAACCAAATTTATGTAAAAAATAACAAGATTTATCACACCACAAATAGGCAAACTACGAAAATGTATTTCAAGATGAATCTGGTCATGTTTATTTTGATATCATAAATACAGTTGTTTTCTTAACATATAGTCAAATCTAAGCAGATTTATCTTTAGGATGGAGGCTTAGAATAAAATTAGAATAACTTTATCTTTAGGATGGAGGTACATAAACGATGTGAAAGGCTAATTAATTAGGAGGTTGTGTATCGCACTGCTATATAGGCCAACATGGACTTCGACGTTAACAGCCCAATTAAGTAGTTTTCAAGCAGCAACTGCAAATGTTATTCCTAGTAATATGCTAAAAATGACCTTTGATGATGTGCTGAAAACTCATAATAATTTAATAAAATGTGAGGTGCCTAAAATTTATAGCGCGTCGTTTGGAGGGAATTGAACCTGTTGATTGAGTATGGTTAACCAATACCAAAAAGACACTTTCATGCATGACTAAGACTTGGAAACAAACATGGTTACATGGACCCAAGGCTCGGTGACCCTAGGCTGCCGCTCGAGCTCACATCGGCGTCAATTCCCCTATGTAAAATCAGTGTTTAGCCTATATACTTAAGAGATTAGGCTTAATCTCATACTTAGCCATGAGATCCACCCAGGCTTATAGAAAGTTCTAGATCCGCTACTAGTTATATATACTTGTACACTCCTATGGTTTTCTTCATATTCTTACTACTACAGTTCTATTTATTCCATCCGTTTCAAATTATAAGTCGCTTTAACTTTTTAATTCATCCATTTTACTATGTATCTAGACATAATATTATATCTAGATGCATAGCAAAATGAATGTACTAAAAAAAGTTAGAGCGACTTATAATTTGTAACGGAGGAAGTATATATCTATGTATGATACCACTGTTATTAACTATATATACTTATTAACTTTATTACTTGTACACTCTATGGTTCACCGCCAATGTTGACCTCCTAGTTCACCATTTGAAACTTTGGACTCATTTCCCTTACGCTACACCTCACACGACCTTCCTATATATGAGCCCGTACTATTATCATATACTCCTTTTATGTTCCTAAAGAAAGTCATTTTGGACATCGACACGGTATCTAAAAATAACTTTGATCGCTATTTTTTGCTATAAAATATTTATAAAACATGATCAATATATACTTTTATAAAACTACATTTCGAGATGATTCTACTTACATTACTTTCATATTTTTCAAACCCAATCCAAAAGAATTTATTTGTAGTTAAAGTTTTAAATGTTTGACTTAAGACAATTTCAAAACGACTTTCTTTAGGAATATAAAGGGAGTAAGAGTTCTTTTTTTCACCCACTATCGCTACACTTCTACCGTATTGCTTGACCTTTTCTTCTATCTAAATAGTAAATTTTAAAACTACCCTAAAAGATGAGAAAAGCAGTTTTTTAAAAGAAAAAAATATCTGGGTGTTATATATATTATTGCAACGTTTTATGCGTCTTCGGCGTACTGTAGCATCACGTATATCGGACGGTTAATGTTAGGAGAGTAATAAGCAGTGCTCTGACGGTCTCACCTTGCAGTAGTAAGGAGAGAAAAGGCAGTGCACCCTACCGCTGCTCGCCGGTCCGACGAGCCCCACGGCGCCCTTCTTTCCGGCCACCTCCAACTCGTCGCTAAACAGCGCCCGGAGCGTCTTGGCTGCCATCTCGGCTGCGTCCTCCTCGTCCATCAGCCCCGCGAGGACCCCACCGACCGACCTCACCTCAGGCCCCACGACAGCGTCCACGCCGACGTACTCCTTCAAGAACCCGTCCACCATCACCCTCGAGAGCGACCGTGGCCATGGCCCTAGCCCGCGCGCCGTCGCCGGGGAGGAGGACATCAGCGGGTAGAGCAGCAGCAGGAGAAGGCCCCGGAGGAAGCCGCCGGCCTCGACGGCGACGAGCATGAAGTACGGGAAGGCGGACACCGGCGGGCGCAGGATCCACGCCTCCACGTCGACCACTAGGGTCTGGCCATGTAGCATGTCCAGCGTCAGCAGTGGCGGCGGCGGCGGGCTCGGCTTCGTCGTCACTGCCATCCTGGCACGGTGGTGCCGACGACCGGCGAGCTTCAGCAGGAGAAGGAAGAACAAGGAGACCAATGGCTTGGACAATGATGAAGATTTCATGGTCATGGCTATCTATACCTTCACTGCCGGAAACGTCATATTTGCCGAGTGTTTTTATGTTTGCCGAGTGTATTTTATCGGGTACTCAGCGAACAAGTTCTTTACCGAGTGCTGCGCTAAAAACTCTCGACAAAGAGGGGGTTTGCCGAGTGTCAAAAAAAACACTCGGCAAAGAGGGGGTTTGCCGAGTATCAAAAAAAACCACTCTGCAAAAATAAAAATCTTTTTTTCTAAAAGAGAAGGAGAAGAAAAAAAATAAAAAAAAACTTTGTCGAGTGTTGCGCTAAAAACTCTCGGTAAAGAGGGGGTTTACCGAGTGTCAAAAAAACACTCGGCAAAGAGGGGGTTTGCCGAGTGTCAAAAAAAACACTCGGCAAAAAATAAAAATCTTTTTTTTTCTGAAAAAGAAGGAGAAGAAAAAAATGAAAAAAAAAACTTTGCCGAGTGCTCAGATCTAGAACACTCGGCAAAGATATAAAATTTTTTTCTGGAAAAGAATGAGAAGAAAAAAAATGAAAAAAAAACTTTGTCGAGTGCCCCGATCTGGGACACTTGGCAAACAAAAATATCTTCTTTTAACACCCAGCGCTCCACCCTCCTTCCTCTGCACCCGCCCCCAGCGCCCCCTCCCTTTTCTTCCCCGGCGCCCCTCCCCCTCCTATCCCTCTCTTCCCCGGCTGCGGCCGCCCCCTCCTCTCCCTCTCTTCCCCGGATCCTGTGGCCGCCCCTCCTCTCCCTCTCTTCCCCGGATCCGGCGCCCCCTCCCTCTCTCCCGGCGCCCCAATGCGGCCCCAGCGCAGCCCCTCCCTCTCCCCCATGCGGCGGCACACCCCCTCTTCCTCAGCGGTGCGCCAGCTGGATCCGGTGGCGGGGTGCGCGGAGGAGCTGGTGCCCGGGAAGGCCGGCAGCGGTGGTGGGGCCTGAGCGGAGCAGGCGGGCTCGATGGTCCCTCTCCATCTCTGCTCTCCATGCGGGCGCGGGCTCAGTGGCGGCGGATCCAGTGGCGCAGGTGCGGGCGAGGCCTCGGCGGCGGCGGATCCAGCGGGCGCCCTTCCCCTCCCCCTTCTTCTTCCCCGGCGGGCGCATGGTGGTGGCGGCGGCGGCTTTGGTGGTGGTGGCCGGCGGCTGTGGTGGTGGAGGTGGCGGCGGTGGTGGCGTCGGTGGCGTGGTGGTGCTGCCGGCGACTTGTTTTTTTTCCCCCAAAAAAAGTTTGGGGACTCGGCGTAGTCTTTGCCGAGTGCCCGACGATTGACACTCGGCAAAACAGTCTTTGCTGTTAAAACCTACGCCTAGTGTCGGCAAACGTTTTGCCGAGTGTTTTTGGGGCTTTGCCTGTATCCGGTAGTGCTTACTGGGTAGGTACCCATATATTGCCTTCTTCAATCGCGAGCCCTATAGTCTGTGTCGAGGTGTTGCACGTACTTGTCCTCTGGCATACAGTCTGGCTTCGATGGGCGTTTGTATCTGCTCAGGAGCCACAAGTAGAGCGCTGTGGCTTATTTATACTCGGCTTAGTAGACGTGCCGTGCCGTCTCGGGGATCAGCACTGGTGTTAGTTGACGTCACGAGGATTAGCACGGTGTTCGTTAGAGTAGTTGTTGGCTGCAGCAAAAAGCTTAGACTTTGGTCGGTGAATTAGTCATACTCTGTAGTACACATAGCAGTTTCCTTGAAACACATGGTCGTTCATGCTGTTTCAATTCGTTCTCTGTAGCAGGCTGTGGCTGATCGGAGCTTGCAATTATGCAACGGTCAAATTGAAAAATCGTCAAAGGCGCCACTAGCTATATGCTGGATATATAATTCGTCGGTTACTGTTTCCAATCATATAATGTAGCTAATAACCTTGTTGCAACAAGCAACTTGGACTCCTCTATCAAATAAAAAAGAATATGACCTAATTTACTGTTGAAAGCACCGGCGTTTTCTCCATCATATCACTGCCACCTAATTAATAATAAACTCTTGATCGACGTTTTCGCCATCATCACTGCTACCACCACCAACAGTTACTATATATGACACTGTTAGAGCAGTCAAGAGTTCTTTTTTTTTTAACTAGTCTGGTGTTAGACGTTAATAAGGGCTCAAGAAGCCAAAAAAAATCAAGATGTCAAATGAACATTTCATCCTTTCAGAGAATAAATGTCCATGCTATAAAAAATGCACATATGTGAAGTTCACGAACATTTGTTAGCAAGAGTTTCATCATCACTCATATATTATTCGAACCATATAATGGTCTCCCTTTTCTAGTCTTTTTATTGATGTTCTGTGGTATAGTTTCATTTTTGGCCGATATTTCTTGTCAATCAAATTTTATCGAGGTAATAGGTGATCGTAACCATCTCATCGAGAACAACTCAATGTCATTTAGGAGTACCGCAACAAAATCCTATTAAAACTGGGCCTGGGTCAACTGGTCACATACATGGCCTCTTTACAAAGACAAGTGCGGTTGGTCACGCTGTAGTAGGCTCGCCTACCATGCATGGTTTAATTTGTGTAAATCGGTTTTTCATAGGCAGCGGTCACTTCATTAGTGAACTTTAATTTATAGAGACGGTTGTGTTAAAAAGTTTATCTCTATAAATTTATTTTAAAATAAAAAATGCCATCACTGCTAGACTCTGTGTTGCATGGTATTTATGGGTTTTCGTTGAGACTGAATAAGCAATAATTCATTTCAGATGAGAAATACAACTTTGTAGTTGATTACTTTTTCATTTAAATTCATTTAGGGTCCCAAAATTCATTTCAAAGTCCTAAAAAGTGAATACTAGGAATGGATATATCCTATAGACACAAGTGACTTTAGGGGTGGAGTGGTTTCAGAAGCTATGAGCGAGGCCATGGGTCTTAGGTTTGAATCCTAGTGTCGTGCAATGTGCGAAAAATTGTTTTGCCTTGCGAAGCGCGACCGTGCAACATGCTAATGAGGGTTTCTCAGAATTAAAAGAATTTTTTTTACTGTTTTTAGCCCAATTTTAGAATTTCTGAAAGTCCTCATCACTATCGGTTGGTAACAAAACCGGCTGTGATGGAAGGCTATGAACCAGCTGTGATGACCTTTTTGTACTAGTGTGTACTTGTCCTCTGGCTTCGATGGGTGTTTATATTTGTTCGGCCGCTCACAGGCCACAAGTAGAGCACTAACCTATTTATACTCAGCTTAGTATGTGTGGTTTGGTTTCTACTATAGTAAGTACATGGTTAACTATGTCGATGCTTTAGTGGGTGTGTACATGGCAAGTGTGGCGGGCGACGAGCAGGGTAGGGGAGGAAGGGGAAGGCGATGGTGCGGAAGACAATGAGTGCCGATGCTGAATGGGTGGAAGCTATATATGGCAAGTGCTACGGGCGGCATGGGCATGAAGGCGAGGTGGCCGTCGTGGAAGACTAGGGGCCTCGTGTAGATACATACTTGTCCCGTGGCAATGGTCGCCATCCTGCGTGTCACCCTAGCTGAAACCTTGTATAGATATACTCGTATTCACCTCAATCCATGTGCGTTAGAGCGAATGTTTCTTGGACACATAAGAGCTTGCAATTAAGCTTCCAAACAAGTCCTTACAGAAAGTTTCCAACACACGAGCAATTATGCAACGTTTTGAATGGAATTCAATATCCTGAGATGGAGTGGCGGCTGGAAAATATGTCATAGATGCACAAGTGATAATTAAGTACCACATCTTTCTTACTACCATTGAAGATGGCCCTACCCATTCTACGATAGAGGTTAAGAAAGAAGAGCACCGATTGACAGAGGATCAACCTCCAAAGGCATCATCTTATTTAGCTGCCATGGTAGGAAGAGCGAGAACATTGCATGTCCTTCTATGCATCGTCATCCTTCACCATTGACCATGACAACAAGACAGCGGTGTAAGTCCTACGGTATATCGACACTTCATTGATGTGCTTGCTCGTCTTGCACAATGTGGTGTGCTCAAAGATTTAGGCATTATTGGAAATGATTGGAGGCTTGATAAGGGCGCAAACCAAATCTATGGAGACTGTTTATAGAAATCTTACCGCCCTACCTTCTTAAGCTATTGGTAGGTTTAAAAGGTCATGCCTTTTGGAATTGGGGGCAGAGGTTTCTTTGCTTCTTGGTTAGGTGCTTTCTTCGTTGTGGCTTGCTATGTAGCTACTTGCTCTTGTTGCAAATGGGTTGTTGTTAATGTTGATGGAGTTGCCTTAGTCATTGTAGCTGCTTGTTTTCTATTTTAAACTCTTTCTAGAGGTGTTGTTTGTCCTACTTGAATTTTTTAATTAATATAATCGGCAGCTCTACTACTCGGTTGGTTTTAAAAAAAATTGAATACTGTCAAAGGTGCCACTAAATGCTGGATAGTTCATCGATTACTGTTTCCAATCATAGTCTAGCAAATAACTTTGTTGCAATCAACTTGGATTTCTCTATCAAAAAAAAGAAAATGATCTAGTTTAGTACTCTTTATGGAAAAGCACCTTGATGTTTTCTCCATCACTTCGACCAAATTAACTCTTGTTCGAAGAGTTTTCATCATCAAACTCTCACCGCCTGATTTGGCACCAAATATGAAATGTGACAAATGTGGCAGAACCTCCTAAGAAATCGGGCCCACATGCACCTATCGATGTCTCAACAGACCTCAGATAGCGTACACAAGTTCCCAACAACTTAACAGGTCTGTCGGGTGTCCTCGGGAAACTCAAATCATCCATGAATCCTTTCCAAACAGAATCCCAATCACAGTCATTGCAGGTTACAACAGTTTTCAATATACATACCAGAGATTATAAAGCGGAAGACTTAAGTTTTAATATTACAAACCAGTTGTTTCAAACTTACAAAACCATAAGTGTCATACAACCATAGTAGCGGGATAATATTACATTAACATTATTTATTTCACACAAACTAGTGCCTTGTCCAAAGGCCATTCATCATTCCTCATCGTCATCGACTTCAAACACTGACATGCAGCAGGGACCAAAACAAGCATGCGCATGCGACTCAC